ATATTCATATATATATGAATCCGACTGCTATCCTCAAGGTTGGCAGTTCGAAACTACCAGCGGTTCAGTGGGAGAAAGATGAGGGCCTGTATCGAGACCGCCCACACAGCAGGTGGCGCTACGCTCGCCGCTAGGCCTTCCGATCAACACCCTTTCAGAGTTGAGGGCAACGGGGGTGGAGTGGGGTGGGCCTCTGTTTAGGGGTGACCGTTCTAATGCCGTATTCCAAGTGTCGACCAGTGTCATGATTGTTGTGTGGGGCTTTGACCTCAAGGATGATTGAAGAAACAGCGGAGTTCTCCGTGCACCTTTCTTCGCGGCCCAGGGCGGCGGCGGGCGTGCAGAAGCCCCAAGCTGGGGTCAAATGCGCGGCAGGCGGCAGGCGGCGCAATGGGCAGCCCCGTTACCAGCGGGGTCCTAGCGAGAGGCGAGCCGGCGACCTGAGAAGGCGACTGAGTGGGCAGCTCACCCGGGAGCGAGCAGTCGCGGCGGAGCGAGCGGGCCCTGAATTGACAGATATACTGAGCAACCGGATCGGCGAGCAAGTGCGGGGCGCAGCCATGATCACCTCAGCCGGTGAGCACGGCCTGGAGCGGCGGCTAGAGGGAAGAACCGCCTCCGCCGCCGCGCCGGCTTTTAGCTGAGTCAGGGCCGGTGACTGGGCACCTCCCGGCGGAGTGCCGGCCTGCGCGGCCCCTCGTGGTCCACAGCCCATTCTGGGCCGAGGTCTGGGACCCTGGCCGTGCCCCTCTCGGGCCTCGTGCTTCCTTCCTGCTGGGTGGGCATCGCGCAGTGTCGAGCGCCTCGGCGTCCCTCCCAGCCACACCCCCAGCCCCCGGCCCGCGGGGTGCCCTGGTCCTGCCAGCCCCCGAGGGGCTCCCTTTCCTCCCTCCGTGCCTCGGGCCTCGCAGGTGGTCGTGGCTGAGATGGGCCCCCGGCTGGGCAGCGCTCCCCTCGGAGTGGAGCGAGACACCAGGTTCGGGGTGGCCTTTTTCGGTGTCCACTTGAAGGGAGTCCCTGAATACCCCGAAGTGTTGGGGTGCTGCTGCCTGCCTCCCCGAAGGTCGCATTGCGCTGAGGTCGGGGCTCAGGGACGCTGCGACCTTCCAGAAAGAGCGGGGCTGCCGAGCTTCACCCTCGCTCCCGGTCCCCCCATTTCAGCCCTAGATTCTCATAGTGACTTCGGGGGCTGTCAGAGGTCCAGGAGGGAAGAAGGGCACTCGCACTTGGGTGGGCGGCGTAAAGGGCTGACTGCGGGGATGGGGATTGTCGGGGGGCGGGGGGAAAGGCTGTCCCCGGGTCGTGGGATCAGACTCTTGTTCCCCAGGGGAGCGGAAGGGTGGAAAACCCGTTTTAGGTCCGTGTTGCGGCTGTTAAACCCGTTGCAGCTGAGTGGGTCCTGACTCCTGGTGGGGACCCTAGAGGCCAGGGTGGGACTGTCTGCAGGGATTCCAAGGCTGTCAATCTTTAGGGAAGCAGACCGCCAGACCTTTCTCCTGCGTAGCAGAGCGGAGCGGCTGGTGGGTTGGAACTGCCGACCTTTGAGTGAGCAGCTGAGTCCTGCGCCGTCTGGTATTGCTCGCAAGTCGGTTCCGACTCCTGCTGACCCGAAGAGCTCCCTGCGTTTTCAAGGCTGCACCTTGTTTTTGGAATCAGGTCCGCAGCCTGCCGTTCTCCGTGACTGGTGGGTTCAGTCTGGCCCCCTTCAGTCCGGAGTGGAGCCTTCACCTCTCGGCGGCAGGAGAGCCCTTCAGGCGGCGCTCGCTCCAGATCACACAGCCCACCCTGACTCATCGAGCTGCTGCTTGGGCTTTCTGAGGCTGTCAGCCTGTCTCTCGAGAAGCGGCTGGTGGATTCGAACCACCGACCTTACGTCTAGCAGTCGGACTCGGAGATGAAAGAGCGCTCAGTCTTGCTTGCTGTACCCGTGGGTGGCCTTCACTTCTGCTCCGCTTTCGCATCTGCTCATTGAGCCCGGGTTACCCCGTCTCTTGGAGTTTGACAGCCAAGATTCTTCTAAAAGCTCTTTATTCTTCTAAAAGCTCTTTAGTCACATCGGATCATCCTCTTCAGATTCTCTGGTGGCTTTCCACTGATGGGCTCCCTGATGGAATTCCTGCCTCATCGCCTCCTGTAGTTTCTTCACTACACCCTCATCTAACGGGCCTTCCACGGATAGGTCATGTCTTTCCTGCTTCAGGACCCGAGCACATTCTCTTCCCTTTTTCTAGACCCTGCTTCCCTCACATTTCCCCTTATCGTTTCAGTCTGTAGTTTCTGCTCAAACTCTGTTAGTTTTCCCTGACCACTCTGTGGAAAGCACGCGGCCTCTCTCCCCCATCTCCTCCCACCCTCACAGTGCTGCCTTCACCTCGGTTATTTATCTGACAGTCTTTCTCTCCTTGAGAGAAATTTTGGGTAAGAAAATTGTATTTGCAGGTTGTAGAACACTGAGATTCTATAATGATAGTTCAGTGTGTATTTATTATTGTTGGTTGTTCAGTTTACCAGATTGCTTACCAGCTTCCATCCAAGCCTTTGGTCACTTTGTTTCCTGTCCTCTGGCTCACACTGGCCTGCCATCTGGTGCAGGTACTGAAGAAGCCAGTGTGATGGTTCTGGTGTGGATTAATCACTTCATTCATTCATCTGTCCACTATTTAGTCAGCACTTGCTAGGCACCAAGAACACAGTGGTGAATAAGATGTCAGCATGCACTGTTCTATAAGAAATTTAGTCATGTTGTGCTCCTCAGGATCTGTTCCACTTCGAGCATTCTGTAACTCGTGTTTGAAAAGAGTGAGAGTTTGCTGGAGGCAAATGTGTGATTGATGTTTATTCTAAAATGTAATCTAGGCACTTAAAGAAAAATAGTGCTAAATACTTTAAAACAATAGTCTCTGTACCTCTCCTTCCACTTCCTGACCCCCAGAGGCAACCACTTTGTACCTTTTTCAGCTGTTTCTTCTATAACCTAATCTCATGGTCGTCATTACTATCCAGACACTGCTGACAATTGATTCAACCATGTCAAGCACTTACCAGCTGAGTTATTGTGGCATAAAAGGATTTTACCTTTCCCATTCTCTCCCCCTTCCAAAGGGGAGTTTTGTTGTTGTTGTTGTTGTTGGTAAGAATAGAAAATATTAGTGAGAATGTTCTACTCTACATATAAGCATTCTGTTTATCTAGTCTAAACATCTGTTTGCAATTTTTTTTAAAGGGATTGAGTCTTTAAAATTGGTCTTGTCTGCATCAGAGTGACTGTTCAGCTCTGGACTTAGCACACCAATGTAGATAGAGTTCACAGTATAACCAGCAGCATGATGTAGTTCCAGTTGCTAAGTTTTGTATCCTCTCCTGTGTGGCTCTCTATTTGGCAAATCTACACTGTGCCAAGATGGTTTGGTACAGTGGCAGCAGCAATGGACTTGAGCGTAACAACAATTGTGAGGTTGGCACAGGATGGACAGTGTTTGATTCCATAGCATAAGATTGCTATGACTTAGAACTGACTCGAGGGCACCTAACAACACTTACCATTTAGAAATTGCCTTGATACTCTTTATTTGAATCAAAGCCCAGTTTCTAGTCAGTGTTCCAGAAAGATTTTAAGACCTATACAGGAGATGTATCTGATAGACAGTTTGGTTTCCTTTAGGGCCCAAGGACAGTGATGTCCTATATCTTTTTCCTTCTACTTCTAGTAATCCCTTTGGCATATGACTCTATTTCAGGATTTGTTCTTTTGAGGGCTTAGTTGTTTTCTTTGCTCTACTGTGTTGTTAGTGCTTTGATGTTGAGGTTAGGATAGGAACTGATTGGTGATGGCGGGGGCGCTGTGCTTGGGTAATTAAGTACAGCAGAGGTTTTTTATAATTGTGTCTTCTAGAATAAGCAGCACTGAACTGCTGACCGCAGAGTTCGTAATTCAAACCCACCAGCCACTTCACAGGCGACACATGAGGCTTTCTGCTCCCATAAAGATTTACAGCCTTGGAAACCCTATGTAGGTAGAGCTGTTTGTGGCCATAGAACAGGTTCTTTGTGAATATTGCTGTTACCTGCCTTCGAATTGGCCCCAAATCATGATGACCCCATGTACATAGAAGAAAACGCTGCCCAGTCCCATACTCTGTCCAAGATCAGTTAATGGATTAGACAGTTGTGATCCTTGGAGTTTTCATTGGCTGGTTTTTGAAAGTAGACTGCCTGGCTCACCTTCATTGCTTTATTTTTGTAGTTAAATGCTGTCGAGTTGGTTCCAACGCATAGGGAACACGGTATAGGACTTGTGAGGATTGAGTGGTACATTTGAACCACCAACCTGTGGTTAGCAGCCCAGTGCTTATTCCACACCAGGACGCCTTGAAATAACTGAAATCTTTGGCCCTGTTGAGTTGATGACTAAATGTTCCTTTTTTCTTGTATATAATCTTTATAGCTGTAGGTATATTTTGTGTGAAAATTTTATTCTGAACTCATGGAAAGTGTTCTCATTTTGGTCTGTTTGATTCTGTAAATTAGGCCAATGTTTTTCAAACTATAGCATATCTTAGAATCACAAGGAAAGCATATTAATAGACATGTTACTAGGCCTCAACCCAAGAATTTCTAATTCAGTAGGCCTGCGGTGGTATTAATAATTTGAATTTCTAACAAGTTCCTGGGTACCATGATGGTCCAGGGACCACACTTTGAAAACCGTTGAGTTATGCAGATACTGTGATATATGTGGTGTTATGAGGATTTGATAAAGGAGCTCTGGTAGCATAGTGGTTACGAATCGGGCTGCTAACTGCAAGGTCGGCAGTTTGAAACTACCAGTGGTCTGCGGCAGGAAGATGAGGCATTCTGTTCCCATAAAGATTTACAGCCTCAGAAACCCTGTGCAAGGTCACTATGAGCCGGAACCGACTCCACTGTACTTAACAACAACATGGGGATTTGATAATACAGTTTATTCTTTAATTTTGAAATTTAAAGCTTTAAAGCTTTAAAGAAAAACAGTCATTGTCCTGGTGAAGTCCTTATTTGTTCCTAACCGTCATATATTTTTGACCAAGCACTAAATCCATCTTAGTGAGTATATATTTTCTTAGTCATTTTATGTATACTTTTTGTCTTCCAGCTGGAATTATCTCTCTTCTGGATGAAGAAGAACCACAGCTTAAGGTATGAGCTGAAGAAAAAGTAACTACAAAAAGAGAAGGATAAATACCCTGCGGCACTTTGAGTTTGGTGATACCTGGTTATATCCCATCATTTAATGTTACTGTGCTCCTCAGCCTTTACTCCCTCCCACCCTTATATGAATTCTAGTACTAGAGGAGACTGTTTTGGCAGTCCCAGTTGGTTTTCCCCAGACTTTAACAAGGTTAAGGTAAAAACAGAAGCCCTGGTGTGGCACTGTGGGTTAATGTGCTGGATTGCAAAGTTGGTTTGAGTTGCAAGGTCAGTGGTTCAAGCTCACCAGCAACTCCTCAGAAACCCTATACTGACAGGGTTACTATGGGTCAGAACTGACTGGAAGGCACTTAACAACAACAACGAGGCAAATACTCTTTAATACGGCACTTGAGTAACACATAGTTTCTTTAGCAGCAGAAAGCACAAAAAGTTGTTTCCTCTGTGTCCCATATTCAAACTAATTTTTATGGAATGAAAATTTCAGTACGCTTCAAGCAGCTCTAAACACCTGGATTAATTTATATCCAAGCTAGCAACTTGAGGCGGGTCTTGTATGTATAACAAGAAAGCATGAATTATGGTAAGGAATGACGTTATAGGGCTGATAATGATGTTTTGTGATTGAAAAGACAGGAAATATATAAGCCTAAGATCATAAGTCTGTTGGTAGATTTTTATATTTGTTATAGATTAAAAGTTTTAGTGACCATTACTAAGGAGTAGCCATTGATTTATTGGAAACACTTTTCTTTAAAAAATGATCTTTAAGGAAATGTAATGGTAAGTCTGTCTCAAAACTGAATTTTGATTTTATTTTTTACAGGAATTTGCACTGCACAAATTGAATGCAGTTGTCAATGACTTCTGGGCAGAGATTTCTGAGTCTGTAGACAAAATGTAAGCAATTAATTCTAGCAGTTAGAGTAAGGTCACCTTCAGTTACCTGTGGGTATGAGTGTGTGGCTTACTCATTTACTTAGACACGTGTTTTTACTAAATTGTGACTTGAATATTTAGTCTCGGAAGTCTGAAGGAAAATCTTAGTCTAAACTAGGCCTTTACTTTCTCATTGTTTTCAGAGAAGTTTTGTATGAAGATGAAGGTTTCCGGAGTCGGCAGTTTGCAGCCTTGGTGGCATCAAAAGTATTTTATCACCTGGGGGCTTTTGAAGAGTCTCTGAATTATGCTCTTGGAGCAGGTGACCTGTTTAATGTCAGTGATAACTCTGAGTATGTGGAGACTATTATAGGTAAGATGGATAAGGGTTGATCTAATTGCCGGGTTTCTGCTCTTACTCACAGAATGCTTTTGATTTCTGGATTATTATTTGATGTTGCCAAATTTCATAGTCTTTGCAGTAATTTTATGTAGGCTGAGTTTTAAGATCTTCCCACCAACTGCCTTACTTTTATGCAAATAATATGTACGTTACATGTTTTTCCAAATCACATAATCCCCTTGCGTGTTATTTTCCTATGTGTGCTGTGCACATTATAGGTGTGTGTTTGCATTAAATGTGAAAATAGGAGTGTGCTTTACTGTTTTGTGTCATAGTTAACAGGAGCAACAATAACAGTAGTAATGTAGATGCTCACTTCACAAAACATTTTAGGAATTAGCTCAAGAACAACTAGCATAACACATAAAGCTAGTTTTATGGACAACATTACAAAGAATGGGTTTTCCAGAACACTTAATTGTACCCATGAGGAACTTGTGCATAGACCAAGAGGCTGTTCAAACAAGGGAACACTGAATGGTTAAAAATCAGGAGAGGTGTGTACTAAGGTTGTATTCTTTCACCATACTCTTTCAATCTGTATATTGAGCAAGTAATCCAAAAAACCGGATTATATGAAAAAGAACATAACATCAGGATTGGGGGACTCATTAACAACCCATGGTATGCAAATGATACAACTTTGCTTACTGAAAGCAAAGAGGACTTAAGATACTCATGAAGATCAAAAACCACAGCTTTCAGTACGGATCAATAAATAATATGATAAATGGAGAAAAGTTTGAAAGTTGTCAAAGACATTATTTTGCTTGAATCCACTATCAACATTCATGGAAGCAGCAGCCAAGAAATCAGACTGTGTATTACATTTGGCAAATCTTGCTGCACAAGACTTCTTTAAAGTATAAAAGAACAAAGATGACCGATTTGAGGACTAAGTCATCATGTTTTCAATAACCTCATATGCATGTGAAAGTTGGACAGTAAGTGAGGAAGACCGAAAAAGAGTTGATGCAGTTGAGTGTTGGAGAAGAATATTGAAAGTACTGTGGACTGGCAAAAGAACAAACAAATCTGTGTTGGAAGAAGTATTACCAGAATGTTCCTGAGAAGCCAGGAGGGCAAGTCTTCATCTCATTCTTTGGGCATGTTATCAGGAGGGACCAGTCTCTGGAGAAGGACATAGAGGGTCAGTGAAAAAGAGGAAGACCCCCAGTGAGATGGATTGGCACAATGGCAGTAGCAACGGGCTCTAAAGTAACAATTATTATGAGGCTGGCAGTGTTTCATTCTGTTGGGCGTAGGGTTGCTGTGAGTTGGAACTGACTCAGTAGCACCTAACAACAGCAATACAAAGAACATGCACTTCTTGAGTAGGGGATATTTTATGTTTTACAGTTAGCTCAGAAAATGGTATTAGTTGATAATTTTCTCGTCTTGATCATAGGAATTGCAATTTGGAGCCGTAGTAAGTTTTAGACTGCTAACCACTAGGTTGGGAGTTCAAAACCACCAACTGCTCTACAGCAGACAGATGAGATTATTTGCTCCTATAAAGATTTAGTCTTGAAATCCATTGGTCTTTCAATCCATTACTGAAATCTTAGTATTAATCTGGAATTTTAATTGTAGGTTTTATATTATTTCAAAATTGCATTTATTTTGTCTGTTTTAAAGTTCTACTACCTTTTCTTCCTCAAAAACTTTCCTGGCTCTGCACCTTGGTCATTTGTTTGAGCCACACACTCTTGTTTCTTTGTGTGAGCTAAAATCGTCTGTTGTCTCCAGGGCATTGTATTTAATAGATGGTTGTATGTTCATGTGTTCTTGTTGTTGTTGTTAAGTGCCGTCGAGTCAATTCGGACTCATAGCGACCCTGAACAGGGTTTCCGAGGCTGTAAATCTTTACGGGAGCAGAAAGCCTCATCTTTCTCCTGTGGAGCAGCTGGTAGTTTTGAACTGCTGACCTTGTGGTTTGCAGCCTGATTCATAACCACTATACTACCAGAGCTTCCTTTCATGTGTTCTTAGGCTCTCACTAACTGTCCTGTGGGTGTAATTAGAGATAGTAGCCAGTACACCATCCTCATTTGCTGTTCATACACCTCAGTTTAAGGTGGGTCTGGCTGGTGTTGGCCGCTGTCTGTCGTTGATCGGGGGTATAGGAACTGGTGTTGGCTCTTGTCCAGTGGGTAGAGCTGCAGAGTGTATGGTTGTGGCTGGGCTGTATGGGCATGGTTGCTGTGTCCTGTCAGGTGGGCAAGAGCAAACCCTTTACAAATAGACACACAAGAAAACAAAACAGAACTAACAAACAAGGAACCAACAGTGAAAAGAAAAAAAAGAAATAAAAACAGGTAGAAACCAGAAAAAAAAGAATGTAATAACTATAAAGACAATAGAGGCCCAGGGAAATGGAGCTATAGAAAGAAAATAAAAGGAAGACATTTTAAAAACACTCAAGATTAACTGAAAAGAGAAAAGAGGGACAGGAAAAAAAAGCTATAGAAGAGAAAAATAAAACAGGAAATAAATTAAAGAAATTAAAAAAAAATAACAAAAAACAGCAACGAAAAAAACCAGAGAGAGCAAAGATGAAAAGAGAGAGTATAGTAAAGAGAGATCAAAAGGGAAGCAAAAAGGAAGCGGATAAATGGGATATAGAAGGAAAAAACAAAAGTGGAGATAGGAAGGATAACATTCAAGGGACTGGAAAGAGAAAAAATAAACAATGAAACAACAAAAGGAGTAAAACCCTCAAATAAAAAAGTGTCGCTGTTGGATCTGGAGAGGAGAAACCTCTAGGGGTTCCTATAAGCTAAGCAGCTCCAGAGGTGGGTGTGGGAGGGATGTGACACAGCAGAGTTCCTGTTGACCTCGGTGTTACCTATGTTCAGGTCACTCTATATGGAAGCAGTTCGTGAGGGCACTTGATGGAGCTGGTTTTAGTGTTTGTTAGTAGGACCACAGGGCAGCTGGGGGCAGGGTGACTAAGTGCTGGTTTGGTAGCTCTGCAGGTTTGGTAGGTCTGGAGGCGAACCCACCTGAATCCAGCACCAAAGAAGCACAGCTGGCCATTGGCATGACATTCACATTGGCATGACTCCCAACCATGTGGCTCTGAACTCCCTAGCGAGGTCTGCTGGGGGAGGATGAGAGTGGGAGCTGACCTTACCTCTGGTTACCAGGGAAGCTTGGAGAAGAAGGAATCACACTTAATGTTGCCTGTGTGAATCTGTTCTGCCAGGCCACCGTCATGTTGCTAAAGCTGCTCACAAAAGTTCATCATGGTTGCAGCATGTTTGGCCTGCCGTTCACCAGTCAGGCTCCCGCTCTTGCTGTCCCTGCTCAGCATCTCCTCCCAGCAAGCATTCAGTCAACTTCTCTAACCTTTCATCTGGATCTGTTTCATTTGGGGTCTCATATCTCTATAGTAGTAGAGGGTTTGTGTAGTAAGTCTTTCTAGTCCGCCACCTGGCTCCTATTTTGATCAGAGCAGCTCTACTATATGTGATTTTGCTTGGAGGTTTTGTAGATTTAAAAACTCCAAGTTTTGGATCTTAGTTATAGGGTTCAAAACACATGTCCTTTGTCAAAAATGTATATGTACAGCCTTCTGTATTATGATTAAAAAGAGATCTGCATGATTTATCCTAACACTTAAAGGAGAAAGATGCTGTTCTCTTTCAAAGATTGGGAAATGCTACACAAGGGGGTCCAAAGGCAGTACCTTCATAGGTCCCTGAATTTCTTATGATTCTGAAGTACATTTTTTTTTAATGTTTTATTGTGAATTATGTGATAGTATACATGGGAGAACATTAGCCATTAGCTTTACATTCATTCTATCGTATATCGTTTCATTGCCATACAATCCTCTCCATGCAACATCAACCAACCAAAGGGTATCTGCAAACCTGCTCCCCCCTCCCCCCAGTCATCAGTACACAGCTCCTCTCCTTCTCTGAGTTTAAAGTCCCCAGCTGCTCCATCTCTCCACATCATCGTCTCTGCCTCCATCCCCGGCGTCACTGCTTCTCTGGGTAGGGTCCAGCACTCCACTCTTCTCCCTTGATGGTCCCAGGGACCTCTGCTCCTGGACTGCAAAGTCAATCAGTTCCTTCCTTTTGCTACACAACGTCTGCTTTTACATTTCTAACCCTCAACAGTCAGTCCTGATAGCAATTATTCACTATTGTACCACAAGAGATCTATCCGCGTTTCTTTTCATCAGCCCTGCCCAGATTGGATACTACTCAGCGGAGATTCTACCTTCCTCCGTGCCCTCTGGATCTAGGTTCCCTCTTGAAAGCTTTTAAGCCAGTCACTTCTTGCCTTTGTAGCCTCCCATTTTGGGTAGCCAATGTCCAAGTCGCCCATCCCTGTCTACCCTGTGTAGCGAGGGGGTGGGAATGATCCTCATTGTAACTATTTATTACCTCTTTTGAGCAACTGCATCCATAGGTGTAGGTCAAGTGTATCAAATTGTATCAAATTACTCTTTTTTTCCTCTTCTTTCTTCTTCTAGTTGAGCTCTGTTCATCCAGTCATTGAAGCCAGGTCAAGTGGGTATTATCTGCAAGTGTGGGTGTTCTTGTGCATATGCCCTCTCTTACTAGCTGAACGCTTCACTCTCCACTCTAGTCCTCTGTGCCTATGTCACTGTCTCTGGGCCCATGAGTCCCCAGGTCTTGCCACACTGCTGGCTAACCCAGTCTCCACCCAGTTTCACAGGAGTCTATTGAGGCTTGTAAGGTGAAGTTTTTAAAGTTTTTGCCGCAATGGTAAGAAAACATTGCTAGTAACTTTACTACTGTAGGGATTTTAATCTTTGTATCCTGTGGAAAGAGCAGATGAGAAGTTAAACCATGTCATTTGAAATCAGAGTACTTTTTCAATATTGTTAGAAGTGAGTAGTAAAATATTTTTTATCTCCTCTCTATTGTTTGATGGATGTTTGATTAATGTTGATAGTGTTTTTCCAACAACGATGCACCCATTTTTGCAGTGTTACCATTTCACAAATCATAGTGCTTTTCAAAACAGGATTGTTCATCCATAAAGTGCTATGAGGTGGTGGTAGTTGCTTTTTCTATTTCTGAGCACTGCATGTTATAGCCTGTAGAAGGAGATTGCTGATCCGTAGATCAGCTCTGTCTGTTTTGTATGTGGAAGTAGGCCTCACCTTTTCCTTCTGATTTTGTTGGGACTGCTAGGACTGCATTTTTAAAATGTCAGTGACATCTGTGAGTGATTATACAAAATAGTGTTTGTGAAAGGCTTTCTAGGATGTTATGAATGTTACAAATAGCACCTCTAGAAAATTCAAGACTAGGAGTCCTGGTATGGCGCTTTAGGATAAGCACTGGGCCATAAGGTCAGTTTGAACCGCAAGGTCAGCAGTACAAAACCACCAACCAGCTCCTCAGAAACCTACACTAGGTCACACTATAAGGCAGACCTGACATTACAGCACGTAACACTTCCTTTTCCAGCCTTGCCAAGACTTCAGCTGGGAATGAGGCTAGACTCTGGGACATAAACCTGGTGAGGGAGAGAGAACATGAATCTCAGTTGACATTTGAGAGATACAGTTACTGTGATTTTTTTTTTTTTTTTCTTTTTCAAACTACCCAGCTGTTACATTTCTTAGGGTCTTCTCTGAGAAGATCCTTAGGTTCATCTCCAGTGGCATGGAGATGTTGTTTCTTAACTATATACAGCTGGTTCAAAACAAAACCCAAACCTTGTACTAGGGGCCTGGTGTAGAATAAGTCTGTTCTGTGACTGCCACCCTACCTGGACTTGGAGTAGTTCTACCCAGGTGGCCCCTGAATATGGAATACTCTCATAAAAGTTTTCTGCTTTCTCCCAAATACAGGCCTCATATTTAGCATGTTTGGTAGACAGCAAAGCTAAATCATTTCTGTTTACTGGGGCTATTGTTGTAACTAAATAATCTTGTCCTGGTTTCCTTTCATCAGTGAAAGGAAAGGGTGTCAAGCTGATGAACTATAGGGAGATAACTAATAGCCAGGTCAGTCCTGCTGGGTGGCTACTTAACGTAAGCAGGAGGAAGATGAGACTTAGAGAAATCTCCTACTTTGGTTAGTCCTAGAAAGAATAAAGTGTGATTGCAAAGCAGTGTAATTAAGTTGTAAACAGACTCTGGTATCTTTCAGTAGGCATGCTATTGCCACTCTTCTTTTCATTAGATTATATAACTGAGGAGGAAATGTCCCAGATGTCAACTGAGGTTTCCATTCTCACTCACCAGTGCTACCCTACCTCCCCCATATGCCCTTATCATTGTACAATGTGAAAGCCAAATTGTGCACATGCACCATTGCCTAAATATCTAAGGTAGAATAGGGCCTATCCAACTCAGGTTAAGAAAATGACTGTTTTAATTGATTTGCTACAACTGCTAGAAAAGGTTTTGGAAATCTTCTGGAATTATCTTTAGAACCTATAGCACATTTTAATTATATTGTATTACAATATAATTGTAACAAAAATGATGGGAAGTACAATTCCTACGCTTAAGGAATGTTGTTAAGTGCCATTGGATTGGTTCTAACTCATACCGACTGTAAAGTGTTTCTGTGGAGCGCCTTGTGAGTTTGAACTGCTGACTTTGTGGTTCAAATCAACTTTGCAGTTTGTGTTTATACTACAGCGACACACCAGGACTGCTAAGGTATAGTTCTGTTCTGTGTGGTGGTGGTGGTTAGGGTAGTGTGCCACCCAGTTGGTTCTAACTCATAACGACCCTATGTGGGGTTTCCAAGGAGCTGTTGGTAACTATAGCAGATCTTTTTGAAGATCCTCAGTAATGGCAAAAATCTAATTTTGAAAGTAAAGCAGTTACTTGTAGCTAAGTCTGTTGAATGAAGAGCTTAAGGAAGTAGAGTCAGATTCTTATGGTCAAAATAAAGTTAACAAGAAAAATGTTTTGCATAATGCAGTGACATCATCAGAATTATTAGGCTAAGTGTATAATTACATAAGAGGGAATAATGTTAGCTTGAATGTAAGTTCTTGTGCTTTTCGATTGGTTTATTGATAGGTTTCCCATAAGTATATGTGGATATTGCCCTTTCTGGCACTTAAGTCGATTTACAAGGTGATCAGAGTTATTTTATTTTTTCCGTAGCAAAATGCATTGATCACTACACCAAACAGTGTGTGGAAAATGCAGATTTGCCTGAAGGAGAGAGAAAACCTATTGACCAGAGATTGGAGGGCATTGTGAATAAAATGTTCCAACGGTGTCTTGATGACCACAAGTATAAGCAGGCTATTGGCATTGCTCTGGAGACGCGAAGACTGGACATCTTTGAGAAGACCATACTGGAGTCGGTATGTAGATGGTATAGATTTGGAGATTGGTGATGATGGGGCATGAACAACCCTAATTATTAAAGCTGAAGACAGTCTGGGTAGTGAAAATGAAATAACATGCACTTTTACCAAATATCTGTCTATATGGCTCTCGGCCATGTTGAATGTTCATAGAAGATCTGCTTTTATCTTAAACCACATTTCTTTGATCATTTTGAGGTTTACATTGAAATATTTTTTCTGCTCTTTTTAAGAAGACTTTATTGACAATATATGCACTTTCTATAGCTAAAACTACAAACTAGATTGATGATTTGGGGATGTTTTATGATAATTATGACAATTGTAAGTCACCAACCACAGTGGTCAAAAGATCAAGTACAGGTCTGAGTTAAATGAATGTTGTCCCATAGACTCACTTCATCTCCCTTACCACCTGTCCCTCTCCATGAGCAAGCTGTCTGCATTCTAGACACTTTGGCCTCTTCTCAACACCTAGATATACTTTGTCCGTGTCCTTGCTTTTTGTCAAGCATATTCTTTTCATTTGTCACCTGCTGAATTCCTGTTCATGATTCAGAGCTCAGGTCAGTGGTCACTTGTATGCAAAGCTTGCCTTCAGACATGTCCACCCCTTATTCCCAGCTCTCCTGCAAAGACTGGGTGTGCTTCTCCTGCTGCTGCCTGGAGCCCAGGACTTTGTCAGAGTGTTTGCCACTTCTATTGTTGTTGTTGTTGTTGTTGAGTGCCATCGAGTCGGGTCCGACCCATAGCGACCCTGTACAGGGTTTCCGAGGGTGTAAATCTTTACGGGAGTAGAAAGCCTCATCTTTCTCCCGCGGAGCGGCTGGTAGTTTCGAACCGCTGACCTTAAGGTTCGCAGCCCGATTCGTAACCACTACGCTACCAGAGCTCCTTATTATTAGGTAGTTAATGCCTATTTTCCACCAGATTGTGAACCCCATAAGGGTACGTATTTCATGTCATGTCCACCACTATGTCTCCAAAACCTGAAGCAATACTTAGCAGTAATAAAATTTTATTTTTTAAATCAGTAAATGGATGAATGACCCAGTATGATAAAGTAGTCCTTACTTACTCTCATTTCATTTTTGTTTATTTGTAGTTGTTGCTTGTCTCGTAGGAATAGGATTAAAATATTTGCTTTCATTCATTCAGCAAATATATTTTGAGAACCTACATGCGTCCAGGAGCCATGGTGGTGTACTACGTTCAAACACAACAGCTGCTTCATGGAAGAAAATGAAGCTGTTTCTCCTGTAAATAGTTAGTCTCGGAAACCGGTTTGAGTCAGAATTGGCTCTAGCAGTAGATTTGTTTGGTTTTACTATGTGCCAGATACTGTTCTAGGCACAGAGGTAGAGTGTTGAACAAGACCTCCAGACTCCTTCCCAAATGAAACATTCGGTAGGAGGAATCTAGCAACAGGCATAGAAATAAGTGCATAGAATAAGAGATGATGCATGTTTGTTTGTTTTAAAATAAAGCAGAGTAAGAAATATATATTACTTAGTAGCCTAGAGAACATACACATATAGCTAGAACTTTGGTTTGGAGAAGACTTTATAGTTAAATGTGCAAAGATCTGGAGGTAAAAAACCGGGAAGATGTTTACCTGTGCTTTATTGACTATACAAAGGCTTTAATTGTGTGGATCCGGATCATGACAAACTATGGACAGTGTTGCAGAGAATGAGTATTCTGAAACAGAATTGTGCTGATGAGAAACCTGTACATAGACCAAGAGGCAGTCATTCGAACAGAACAAGGGGACACTGAATAATTTAAAATCAGAAAGGGTGTGCACCAGAGTTGTATTCTTTCAACATATTTATTCAGTCTGTATGCTGAGCAATTTAATTCATTGACTAAATATTCAGAAGTAGTTCATCACTCCTTTTTCCTAGTCTGTCTTTGTCTGGAAGGTCACCTGAAACCTGTCCACCATGGGTGACCCTGCTGGTATTTAAAATACTGGTGGCATAGGTTTCAGATTCATAGCAACTAACAAGCCACCGCAGTATGACAAACTGACAGACGAGTGGTGGAGAAATATGAAGAAAAACGTGGCATCAGGATTAGAGGAAGACTCTTTAACAACCTGCGATATGCAGATGATACAGCCTTGCTTGCTGAGAGTGAAGAGGACTTGAAACATTTACTGATAAAGATCAAAGAGCACAGCCTTTGTTATGGATTGCATCTCAATGTCAAGAAAACAAAAATCCTCACCACTGGACCAGTAAACAACATTCTTATCAATGGCGAAAAGATTGAAGTTGTCAAGGAC